TGCTAATAGATCAACGCAACTGGAATAGTTTTCATCCACTTCTCCTGTTATAGATAGATACATGTTTGGATGATGTATATGTTGAAGTGAGGAAATTCGATACTTACCAACCTGTGCAATTAGTAATTTACCGTTTGAATGCGATTCTTTACAACGTTTCAAAATTTGTAAACTTTAAGTGATGACCAAACCAAGTAATGAGAATAACAACCAATTGAGTGAATATGATCTCATGCTCTTAGAATGGAACAAATTCTTGTTTACATTAGTGTACATCATCAATACACAGTCAACTTGCTTATCATTCATTGTGCAATCGAATTTCTTGATTCAGTTTCAGTGCAAATTCAATGTTCCAAAGAAACCATTCCTGAGTTCCAATGAATTACACATCATAGTAGACAGCTATCACATATCTCAGTTTAGCGTTCAAATGAGATTTTATTCTTGCGATGTTTTGTCAGCCGTGGTTCGCAGCAGTTTTCTTGGAACCAGTTCATATTATTACATTATTGCATTTTCTCTCGGGTGCAAAAGGAAATTCTTTCTTTCAAATTTGAAAGAGAGTTTGTATTGAGCATTGAGATGAGCGCTAAATACTTAACGAAATTTGTGAATCGGAATCCACGAAATCTGGAGATGCTTGGGTTGCAAGCTCGTCCAACTGGTTATGAACTAGAGAAAGATCGACATCGACGTTGTTTCATTTACAAGTTTGTTTTGAATTCATCATCATTTTTGTCAGACTGAATCTTGTGTTGTCGCAAACATGCTGCTGTAATGCTTGACGAGACGATGCACCTCAAAATTAGCTTGTCACTGAAGCCGTTATACGGAAGATAAAAGAAATCGGATGAAATTGCTGAATAATAATATGATTAAATGATTGAACGAATGCTCGAATTGAACGAATCCAGCTTTCTAACTTGCTGATTTGAACAACCTTGTGATGGATAATTCAAATCAATTTAAGAACTGATCTCATTCGATCGAAGGCTCACACTGAAGCACGGTTGATCCATTATCGTAATGGTGTTGTGTTGAGTGCATCAACAAGAGAAAAGGCTATCTCTTCCCAGTTATACAGGTAGATCTCGTAAATCCCGTTACGTTAACAGTTGTTCCAAGTTCGATGAAGAATTGCTTGACAAGCATGATACACAAATCAACTAAAAAATAAGGTCATTTCCTTAATCTATTACAGTAATGTTGATAAGTGTGCGGCCGCAAACCTGGGTCGAGTGCTTGCGTTGAGGTGTTTGATGTCTGGTATTCATTTTGCCATCGTGTCTGATTCAGACGAGTCAATTCAGCGAAGTGAACACGTAAGTTGCGTATTATTTTCATGAGATCAATGTTTTCAGTGATCTAGCTCATCTTATCTAAAATATTCGACTTTCAGCTAAAGGTGTTTTATGAGGCGTTGGCGAAGGGTGGTTTGACCTTGAACGAGCCGGAGCCTATCGAGCACAGCTATCGTACCGATCGAATGCTCACTTATGACTCATATCCTGTCCATCATACAATGGAGGATAAAACTGATGAATAAACATTTAATTCATTTGTATATTTTGTTGATGTATTTATCACTTAGAGTGAATGTGTTCAGATCCAGTTAATTGATTGCTTCATTTGTTATTCGTTATCATTTGAACTGTAATGTGTTCAGTCAAGCTCCTCAATTGATAATCTGCACAAAATTGTATAGAATTGTTATTTTGAATCACGCTTATTCTAGTATAAATTATAATTTACATATATGTGCCGAAATAAAAATTTGAACTCATATCCCATAGTTATTTCTTTAAAATTTACATATTTTTCAGTCGACGCACTTTTAGAGAAAAAACATTTTGCAAATGACTCTTGTTGTTTTATGGGAATCCGATAAGCGAGCATGTATGACTTCTTGTTGAGTTTTTGCAGTAAGATGGTGGTGATCGAACAGAGAATAAAGATGTGCATTGAATAAATAAACTGAAAGGCAGATTGTTCTTAAGAGGAATTATGCTGTTGTTCGAGGATTAGTTGTAGATATCACCGAGTATCCAGGCATCCATCCTGTAGTAGGGGTTATGCATTGATGGGTTGGATGGATGGACGGATGGATGGATGGATGGATCAATGAAGAAGTAAATGTATTGCATGCAACTGGATTGTGTAAACACAAGATATATGAGTCTGCTAAATACATAAGACATTTGCACTTGACGCATCATCCATTCAAGCACTTCACCTTTTCATCATGACTGTCTAATGTTAGAATCTGATGAAATTGGTCTTCGTATCAAGGTTACTCTAGGAATGCAGTTGCTCATGTGCATTTCTTATTCGACTGGTCACTTCTCGAGTTCACATTTCACAACTTTGGCATCTTATTGCACTGTTTACGCATAGTAGTAATAAATAACCTGGTTCTAATATGAGTGGTTTTATGCTGTTTCACAATACAAGTAAGTATTGGTTGATGTGAGCAGTAAGGAATATAGATGAGAATCGATGAATTTTTGAATAGCACATATTCAGTGGGCGTTTCAGAATGGAGCCTCTTCAGGGCTGGATACTGATGAAAATTACATCAGAGAGCTAAAACTAGCAGTCTTCGTTTGCATTAAATGTGAGAAAATTCAGATTTTTAAACGCATGTTAGGGTTTAAATTGAGTTTAAATGATAATCGAATTCCCACTTGTCTAAAGCAATAAACGTCAGCAAATGCACTAACAGATTTACGCATTGAGTAAACTTTCGGCATTTCAATTTCCATTTATGCAGTCCAACATCTGCTTAT